ATAATTTTTGGCTTAGTCACATAAAACAAAGATATATTATGACATAGAGAAGGAATATTACAAAAGAAATAACACATTTGCAGTTGATTCTGAAATAACCTGGTTTAGTTAATGGAGTTCTGGAATCATGTACATCAGTGGTTCCCAAACTTGGCAACTTTAAGACTTGTGTAATTCCACCCCACGAATCCTCCAGCAAGCAGAGCAGAGCTGGCTGGAGAATTCTGGGAGTTGAAGTCCACAAGTCTTAAAGTTGCCAAGTTTGGGAACCACTGATGTACATGATTCCAGAACTCCATTAACTAAACCAGGTTATTTCAGAATCAACTGCAAATGTGTTATTTCTTTTGTAATATTCCTTCTCTATGTCATAATATATCTTTGTTTTATGTGACTAAGCCAAAAATTATGAAAGAAATTACAGTATTATAAATCTGTTATGAGAAAAATAATAAACCAGAGCTTTAGATGATGTGAAGAGTATTCATTTCATGATTGAAACCTATTGTTTGAATGTATGTTTCAATTTTATTAGGGTGTTTATCTTTATTTCTATCTTGTATGGTTAATTTATCTTTCGACCTGAAACGGTAACTTGTGGTTTCTCTTCTTTGGAATCAAATATTCACACATCAGCTGTTTTTTCCCCCCCCTCTGCAGACAATTGCTAAAATGTCCCCAACTTCACTCAAGATAACTTTACGGCAACTTAACGAGGGAGCTTCTTTGAACCTGCAAGATGTATTCACAATGGAATATAGATTGAGTCAAGCATGCATGGTAAGAGGTGTTGATGTTGGCACTTTCTGAGCCAAGTATATTTTTATGTCATTAAGTATGGCTTAACAAGACTGCTGGTATTTCCTATAGTCCACTAAGGATACGAACAGGAATTCTGTTATCTATTCCATTCTATATTTGTACACTGTTGTGTGTGAACATATTAGACAAGGGGCAAACCCTTTAGCTAAGGGTAGACAAACTATCCTCCTTCCATTATACCATGTCAGATTTTTTTCCCTTCTGTTTTACTGTTCCTAAATGAGAATTAGCTTCCCTTTTGTGCCTGAACTCCATGATCTGAGTAATTATGTTTTGTACCATTGATTTTAAATGTTAGCATTTGATCCTTGCAGCGCAAGTTACAGGCCTTCTTGTTCTCTCACTGGCTCTGTTCAGCATTGTTTCATATTAACCCTAATAAAGAGGATGATAGCCAAGATGTGAAGGGTCCATGCCAATCACACTTTAATCACATATATCTCGACATTTGAGATCCACTTGATGTCTGATGGTGCTACTGTCTTGTGGGCTGTGGGAAAAGAGACATTAAGCTAAATGGTGTACTTTCTCTCCTGTTTTTTTCCAGGAGTTTGTATTCTTTAACTTAAGCTTTATTTTTTGGCAGCTACAACTTTCTGTGGCTTTGTGTAGCAGAAATCTCTTTTCTCACCCCCTCCCATACCGAATGTATAAAAGAACTTACAAAGATGAACTCAAGGTCTAAAACAACCTGGATTGCCATTGTCACTTCAGTGAAGTCCTTATGATTTGTCAAGTACTGACAAACAAATCTTTTGAGGGATTAACAACCATAAATTGTACCTTGGAAAGTGTCCTTGCTTCTGGTTATCTCATCAACATAATGCAGATATACTACAGGATGACCCCATTTTATGTACCTTTCATAAAGCTGTGTTCCACTCAGCTAAAAATGCATGTGCGTTTTTTTCCTGAACTAATTTTGAGTTTGTAGTTCAATCAAAACATTGCTACCCATTCTTCTCGGTTCCCCACCCCTCACTTGAGACTACATTATAATTCTGAAAGTTTGTCGAGCTTTAGCATTCTGTATTGACTATGCTTGGTTCTTTCGAGAGATTCAAAAGCTGTTGCTATGTTACAGGCAAAGAAAAACCTATTTTCTCCTTCCTCTTGTCTCCCATTGGTTGATAGCGAACGTTCATATTGTTGCTGTGCCTTCAAGTTAGTTTTGGATTCCTGGTGGCTGCCTGGACTAGTCCCTGAAGGTTTTTTTGACAAGTCTTTTGGAAATGGTTTGCTCTTGCTTCCTTCCTAGGCCTCAGAGAGAGCACCCAAGGTTACCCGGCTCTATAGCTTTGTATCTTTAGGCTTTCTGCCTAAAGCAGGACTAGAACTTACAGTCTCCTGATTTTTAACCTGATATTTAACCAGTACAGCAACTGGCTCATCTAGCTAACATATTATTACAACTCCCTACCACTATACTCAATGAAGACTCATTCTGCAGGGGTGATGCAATGTCCAATATAGTCTCTTCCTGCTATCTGTCATACTGCCAGATGAACTTCTGGCATTATCATCTGGAATGCACTCCGAGTGAGATAATTTCATTTGAAAGGTGCACATGCCATCAGTTTTCCACTGACTTGGCTGTTCATCACCAGTAAGTGAGCCTTGCTATTCTCTCATGCTCTGTATGTGAAGCTCAGAAATCAACAGTGGAAAAACCATCAACGGCTTATTTTCAAGTAGTAATCTTTATATCAAACAACCCTCCCATCGATCCTGTGCAAAATCTCACACTTCCATGGGGATCTCATCCCGGAATCTCAAAGACGCAAGCTACAAATGTTACCAGATTGAAAATCAATATACAAAAAGTGGCCTTTTAGAGGAGATATTTTTCTGTGTGGAGTTCTTGGTGTTCTCTGAGCTTGGTTGTTTGCCCACAGACATTTCATTACCCAAGTAAGCAACATGTAAAGAAACATCCAGAAGCAACCAACTAACCCCAGAGAACATCCAGGACTCCAGCAATTCAACCCTGAGCTACAGATATTCTTTCCTATTGGAAGATATTTTTCTTGTGAAAATTGCTATGGGAACAAAATATAGAAAGAAAATTATATTTCAAAATATACTAGGAAAATTACCTAATGACTTCTTTTATCTTACAGCGAGGCCATGACTTCTATGAAGGTGTCCGAGCAGGTAAAATTTGAAGCCAGAGTGCCCATTTCAAATGCCTTACAATGCAGACCTAGTGAGATTCTTCAGAAACTATTAGTTACAGGTGGCAAGGACAGTTTAAGACATGCTCTTTGGACACAACATTTCTCTAGGATACTTGCCAAATATATTATCTGGTGACCTCTTTTTATTTGAGACAGTTTTAATAAAGTAATCAAGATGATGGTAGAAAATAATAACAACAAAATAATTAACTAAATTAACTAAAATATTTTAATAAAAATAAGAGTTAAATAATAATTAAAATAGTTACTATTTATTCAGAACATCAAGCATATTGCTTCCTATTTCACTGGGTAGCAGAATATGCAAAATTGAGCTGCTCTAAGAAAAAGAGGTCAACAGATGATATATTTAGCAAGTATGCTAGAGTA